CCTTCAACCCCAGCCTACCTGCCTGCAGCATTTTGTATGCTTTGGAAGTTGAGAAGCTCAGACGGATGGCCTCCCTCCCACACCTGTCCCCTCGCCCCATATTTGCAACCGGCTGGCAAAGCGGTTATGACTGTGTGCGTGCATCCAATGCTAAAGTAGACTATTTGGATATATATTTCTGCTCTTCTGAAATGCGAATCACAATTGCAACAGGGAGCTTTTGGAGTAGTACAGATTGCCGTGTGGAGGGGTACGAAAGTTGCTGTTAAGAAAATCTTGCGGTCGCTGGAACAGGATCAGCACACCATGTAAGTGTGAACTACTCCATTCTGCCAACATACGAGTTCGCCGTTCACAGGTGCATGATGCATGTACCACCTCCCCCTGCTCTCTTCCTAGTTACCTTCCAAGGTCACAATTCATGCCGTATGTCAGACAGAATAAACCGTCAAGATCATACTTCATGCGAACATGATCAAGAATTTGAGATTTCCTTCCATACGTCACAACTTTTTGACACCCAAAAAAAAAAAAAAAAAAAAAAAAAGTCATGTTCGATAACCATTTCACCGGCTCACTTGAGGCACGATGTCATACAGACTAGGAGGATGGTCTGGAAAAGGTTATAGTACCATTATACTTGTGAAAGACATCGTGCTAGAGAAGCGATATAGGACACGTTATCTAATGCCACGGCCCACGAGCTCTCGAGCAAAACAAATGCCGTCTTTGGACAGTCCTCCTCCTTCAGCAAGATATGATGGAAACGAGGGCGGATGTCAAACTAGTTGAAGTAGCGACCAACCGTATAAGAGGCCGCTTTATCTTATACAGGTGCCTTGGCACTAGAGTCAACAATCTATCATCTTGAATCTTCTTATGCAGAAGACTCGTCAATATTTGGTGGTCGATTGTATCGAAGCATTTGGACCTTCGGCCTTCTATGTACCAGACAGCCGCCCCTCAACTTCTAGATCTTGGATGGAAGTTTTTACTTCCTATTACTCACAGCTTCTTTTCAACTTACATTATTTGAACTTTTATAATACTGATTTTTTGGATTTTATCTATACTATATGTATATTTTGTCTATACGAAAATCTTGGCGTATCTGTTTCATACGAGTATGTTGCGAATAGCCAGGCTCACCAGAGTTTGAACATTTCAGGACGCGTGGTTCGCACAATGAACTTTGCAGTGTTTGCACACCTAATCGCATCAAGTAAATCGCCAATCTGTTGGAGGAGATATACATCTTTCATCATGATATCATTCCATTTGCAATAACCGATGGCACACTCAAAGCTAGTTTTGAAAAAATGGACATGATTGTCTGTCTCTGTCCCTCTGTCTTCTCACTTGTCTGTTTGTCTTTCTATCTGTGCACCGGTATGTCTATCCACTGCCTGGCTGTCTGCTTGCTTAACTGCCTGCCTTTAGCCTTGTCTGCATGCCTGTCTGTCTGGCTGTCTGGCTGTCCGCCACTTGATGTTTGGTTGTCTATAAGCCATCAATTTTCGATAACGGAAAAAAAACACTCGCCGTAGATGTAGCACCCAACTACCGTCTTCACCCGAATAAAACGCCCGGTAATTATCGCTGCATCTGGACTGAAAGTTTCCAAATGCAGCTACAATGACCGGGCGTTCTGTTCGGGTGAAGACCGTAGGCAAACCCAGTATGACACAGAAGAACAGAATGAATGAAGTAAATCTACAGAAGGCAATCATACAGGTGAGTAGAGTTGCACAAAAGCTCAGCCCCCCACTTCATTGCCGTTGATACATTCTACACTACACCTTGCCCACAGCCATTGCCTATGCGGTAAGAATTATAGCTGCAGTTTTACAAAGGACGATAGCCGGCAGCTGTTGTGCTACAGAGCTCGAGTATGATTCTGGTCTCACAAGTCTCTTTCTTTCTTCTTTTTTAAGACTGTTTGTTTAACTTTATTGAAGTTTATTCTCAAAAAAAAAAAAAGAAAAAAAGGACTGTTTGTTCTCAGGACCTCATGCTGGTCTCTCTACTAACTCTGAGCTCGGGCAGAATACCCAACGCTTTCTTTTTTAAGGAATTAATAATTAATATTACTTAATAATTATCTTATCCGAGTTATTCTGTTCAGTGTTCATCCAATGCCATCTGGATTCGAACTCAGGTCTGTATTTCAAGTTTCAACAGTTCATGAGTGTACCACCAAGCCTCTTTCTTATTGTTTCCCTTTACTCATTCTATCCACCACCTTGTCCACAATCTTTCCTATGCACTGTATGCAGTTAAGGATGATAGCTGCAGTTCTACAGAGGACCATAGCCACCAGATTTACATAAAGTGCAACCCTGTCTGGACGGCCGGATGTGAGTGACGTTTGGCTGAAATTGGCTTCTGGGCCGTTCTGGCAAAGTCTCACTGGGTTGGACTGCGCTTAGCGATTGAATTTCCAGGGCACGGGCACGGGGTACCCTAACCCAGGCTTGACAGGCTCAATGGGTCTACTGGTTCTGAGTCTCAGACATCCCTAGGCCTTTATGGTGTCGGACTGACCCTACATATAGAGACTAACTCGGGGCCTGTTGAATTGTGTGTGGGGGGGGGTTCTGATGTCGTTTCCTGGATATTGTTTTCACACATATTGTTATTGAACATACATCTTTTTTTCTTTTTTTTTTTCAAATCTTTTTCTTCTTTTTCTTTTCTTTCTTTTTTTTTTTCTTTTTTTTTTCTTTTTTTTTTTCTTTTTTTTTTTCTTTTTTTTTTCTTTTCTTTTTTTTCTTTTTTTTTTTCTTTTTTTGTTATTGGTTGCTTGGATGTAATCTGTTGTTTAGAATATAACTTTCAAACAGCTGAGTTAACGAATTGAGTTAATCAATAAGATGGAATACTGAATGTGTTCAAGAACTCACTCAATGTCGTTTACGTGAAACTTATATCACACTATAATGTGTACTGATAAGAAATTTGGTGGTTGCAGTTCAGACATCCAAACAATCATCCATCTGTCCGAAGTTTCTTGTTCGGATGCATTGTCGGGACTAGGGCTGCCACAATAAAAATTCGGAGAAGAATAAACACGAAGGTACATGCGAGTAAATCCATCTCATTTGCAAAAGAACAATTCAAACCTCTTACTAGGTATACAAGGAGTTCACTGGAATCTGCAGTTTCCCACTGTGGCTATTCTCTCTCTCTCTCTCTCTCTCTCTCTCTCTCTCTCTCTCTCTCTCTCTCTCTCTCTCTCTCTCTCTCTCTCTCTCTCTCTCTCTCGGGTTCACACTGATGCTGAGGCTAAGATTTATGAACGCTGTCTGTTCATTTGCTCAACTGCCAGCCTGTTCACCCACTACCTTCTGCACCTGCATACCAGCGACATTCTCTCGTATCTGCATGCCCGTCAACCAATTGCCTGCCCACCCGCATACTCACCTACCCACCCCACATGCCCTTCGGCCTGTGCACCCACACACTCACCTGCCCACCTGCACATGAGCGCATCTACCTACCAGTCCACCTGCCTCTCTCCTCCAGTCGTCAAAAGCCCCAGTCCTGCTCAAAGCTCCCCCGAACATCAACGCAATTAAGACTGTGTGGACATTGTTTTTCTACTGGTGGCCTGTGTGAAGCAATGAATTCCCAAATGCTCATTTGTTCTCTCTCTGTTTGTTCATTCATTCAAAATAGTCCATTACATTGACACGCTCTGAGCATTATATCCAAAAATAATAATAATAATAATAATAATAATAATAATAATAATAATAATAAAATCAATAATAACAAATGTCTGCTGGTTTTTATGTGATACGTGAATCATGTGTATGCAGAAGGGATTTCCAGGAAGAGGTTTCCTTGCTCCCTCTTCTGAGACACCCAAACATTGTGCAGTTCATGGGCGCAGTCACCTTGAACCCACCCCTCATGTTGGTTACTGAATATCTTCCTAAAGTGAGTTCAACGACCTTTAAGAGTAACCTTGTAACTTCTGCAGCTTTTACCCTCCCGCCACAACTTGAAGCCTCCCCAGCCCACTTCTGTCTCATACCGGAGAGAGCCGCCTCTCTGTCAGGAAATCAGTACAGCAAATTGACCTCATGTGCAAACACTGCGAAACATTATTCGAAAGGACAGATTCAGAGTCCAAATTACTGGTTTACAATTGCCTCCAATTGCGGATTCATACTCTCTCTCTCTCTCTCTCTCTCTCTCTCTCTCTCTCTCTCTCTCTCACACACACACACACACACACACACACACACTCGCCGTGGAGGGATTTGGTGATGGAGGGATACTTCTGGCTTTTTTTCTTAGATTTTCTTTTTGATTGTCCATAAGTTCTTCAAAATTCAGTAACCTCTTCTCTTCTCTTCTCTCACTCTCCTTGAGCGAATAGAGGGTCTCGCCTGACATTCCCACTCGAAAGAGCTGCCAGTCTCGGGAAAGCAGTAGGGACACGGGGGGTGGGCCCAGCAGGAACGTTCGTCGGAGTGGCTGCGGCATGTGCTAAGGTCCCGCTGCATGTTAGAGTTCCGTGACCTCTTTTTGCTTTTGTCTTCTTTCGAGGTCACGTGCTGTTTGCCAGCTGTTCCTCCGTTAGTTTTTTTTTTTTTGCGGGGGGGGGGGACATCGAAAGATACACCACCATGATTTTTGTCGTTTGTGCATGCGATAGTAGTGGAGCCGCCCTTTTCCCATTGCTACATCTGTTTCGTGGTGCGCGGAGTGAATCTTCCGCTAGAACATGGAAAGATACATCACGATGAGTTTTGTCGTTTGTGCGTGCATGCGATAGTAG